TGTCTCATAATTTGTGCAAAAGGCTGTATTCATTTGCAATAACATTTCAATTAAAAAATGTCAATGCAATACAAATACTAACATGTAAATAAATGTATACTGTCAATCTGCAGTTTAAATTGAAATTCCTCCCTAATAATGTTGTATGCAAATGACTTTGTCGTTATCTTATGTTGTTTTAACTGGACAACATTATCGGATTGACTGCATATCTGTTGTTTTATCGGTGACCGGTGACGTAATTTAACCAGGAGTCTTTGCGTTCACGACGGTACCGCGAAACGCGTTGGCAGTTCTTTGTCAGACTTAGTGATCACCGTGGTTACAAAGAGGCTCAACGCTTTATTTTCTTTACGTTGATAAGTCGCTCTCATTTTTACAGAGCCACCACAAAGAATGCCCAAAATTCAAGACAACCTGCCCGAAATGCAAAGAAAAAGTTACTAATGAAGAGGTAACCAAACACAACTTGTTAAATAATCCAAGTATTATTTTATGTTTTTTGGGGATTTTGTAACTGCCGACAAGTTTAAATAAGAATCGTTCTTAATTGAATGGTTTGTTGTTTTTCCATAGCTGGCCAATCATCGTGAGAAAGTCTGCCCAAAAGAGAGGATCAAGTGCCCGCTGCATTTTATGGGATGCAAAGAAGAGGTATAACAATTGTTTCTTACAGACTTTCGAGAAATGTAGTTTCTATTAGCATCGAGAGTTGACGAGGATGTAACATGCAAGTGTTTCATCACGTTTCCATTCAGAAAAACGTGTGTTCAAGTGTTTGAAAATCTGATTAAACATAAACAAATTCACGGTAAATTAACAGAGAAATTCAAATTAAAGAATCCCAACCAACCACAATACAGCGCGCGCTCGTGTTATTGTTTATATATGTTTAAATGCGTCAAGCATACAATAGATTATAGCTTGACAGTACCTGTGACGTACTTAGTTAAAGGATTTTTCGTCTAAACTGAAAAGATGGAAAAGGATTCGCGTTCACCTTAAGAAATCCTAAGAATCCGCCATTTTCGTGTCCATCTAAAATGGCGCTTCGGCTTGTTGATTGTTGATTGTAATTGTGCACAAGGAGTGCTGGAAGACCTTTCAAAACCCTTTCACGATATTGACCCCTCAATTAATTCAGAATCTGTTTTGGTTCAGAACTTTATCCCAGAAGTCAACAAGCACATTGCTTCAAACGTTGCCAGCCATATTCACGATATTGTTAAAGCTGTGAAGGAACTACAAATCAAAGTCGATAACCAAGCTAAGCCTACTAAAGCCGTCGAAGAGGGAGCGCGTGGAGGTCAAAAGAGCAGCGCTGGCTACAGTGGATACTCTGAAGATCGTCTCTTTGAGAACACAATTCTGTTGCAGCCCGATTTGAAGAGATTGAGTGACAGGATGACACGTCTTGAGACTCGTGTGATTGACCTCGAGGGGCGTGTGTCAAATGGGACATTTATTTGGAAAATTGACAACTATGATCAGAATCGCGCTCGAGCTCTCAATTAGTTAGCATTTTTAGTTTTTATTTCATGGTCCATGTGACTCTGCTCTATTATGACTTGTGGAAAATACGCCTAGTTATGTAAATTTAACCTTGCATATTTTGACGTATCACATAGTATAAAAGAGCTAGCTTACCTAGTTCTGGGGAGAGTTTTGTAAGGACATTTTGAAGTACAATAAACCTGTTGTGTTTCCTACCGGAGTCGTATTGGAGTACATTTTGCATTGCTATAAAAACGCGAGTGTCTCAACGCAACCAAAGGCCTATTCTACAGTGGAAGTTTATCCTCCTTTGCAGACGTTATTAGTATCGGTCATACGTTCTCTCTCCACTAGAACGTTTGACCGATACTACTGTAATACGTCTGCAAATGAGGCTAAAGATGTCACGCTCGTTGACCAATGAGATAGCGCATACAAATACAAATCATAAATACCATTTTTATCAAAACATCTCAGTTTATTTACAA